AGTGGAAGAGAAACAGTTTTGACATTAATTTATTTACCATTAGTGGTTTCAGAGCCAAAAGCAGCAGAACTATTCAATCAAGATGTAATTGCTGTTGGATGGCTGGGTGTGGATAGATTGTAAAGCACTCATTTGTGTTTTATCTCGTACTTTTAAAGTTTTTCCATTCCCTTGCCACAGCCCAATATACTAAAATTTCACTGACTTACTCTTAATTTCTCAAGTAAATTCATATGGACTTTTGACTTTGAAGAAGAATTTATACTGTCTCGAGTGTTTCCTCAGAATTTTTAAATCATAGAATTGATATCTTACCTTGCAGTATTTTAAAGTATGCTTTTCTTTTCCATTTTGATTTAGCATTGTCCGTGAGATTTTCACTACGAATAATTGATGTATAATAGCAATTTGAAAATCATTTATAGATCACCTGAAGCTGTAACTTAATCAAGTCTCTCTGGTTATAACTTGATCTTACTTCTTTGTCCTTCTTTGAACTGTCACTTGCAGTGTTGTTCTTACAGGTGTTTTTTATTTTTTTTTTTTCCTTTCTGTGCTGGTTTTGGCTGGGATAGAGTTGATTTTCTTCCAAGAAGTCTTCAGGAATGCCTTAGAAGGAGTATCCTTGGGATTTCTGTGGGAGTTCAATACTTTCCTCCTAGATTCTGTTTTCTCTTTTCACCTCACTAGATCTCTGTTTAATCTCACCTATAAATCAAAATGCAACTCCCTGGAATTCATGAGAAGCAAGCATTTTAGTAAGTCTTACCTACTTTTGCAACAGCAGATGTTGATCTATGCTTGCTCAGTTTTTAAATGGAGATTTTAATTGGATCTGTTTGCCTTGCTGAGAGTTGCATCTGAATTCCGAAAGTTTCTAATCTGTTTTTGTTGTTCTGTACATACAGATGTATATCAACCTGTCAAAATTCCCAAAGTTTCTAATCTGTTTTTGTTGTTCTGGTATCTTTATGAGATACCTGTACATACAGATGTATATCAACCTGTCATGGAACAGCAGTCTTATCTTGCTACTGTAATTGAAGTGACTCTTCATACTAGAAATCTTAAAGATGAATGTTTAGTCCTATTTTAGAGAACCAATCAAAGAAGGGCTCATTAGAGCATAAGCAAGGCAATGGAGATAAATTTTGGAGGATATCTGGCAGCCATGTATTTTTTGTAGTTGTCACTCGAGGCTTTTAGTGTGTATTTCAGGCAAAAAAATGACCAAATCTGCAACAGCCTGTATTGTGGATGCCTTTTCTTTGAAAAGGACTTTGAATGTACTTTGGTGCTGATGAGCCCACTTTTCCTGTCCTGATCAGGTTAGTCAGGGGAACAATACTATCTCCCTCTCCTTCCCCCATTGCTCATGACGTCCCTCTGCTTCTCGATACAAGTTTTCATGCAAGTATTCCATTTAATGCAAATATATTAAGTGGTTCCATTCTAACGAGGGAATTAGCGATGTACCCCATTGACATTTTATCTATTGCTTTCATAATGTATACTTTTAACAGCCCTTTCTGCCTGTTGATCCCATTTTTAAGACATTTAGAATTTTTGAAATGAGAGATCAAAGAAATACCCTCACTGCCTTAGCTTTTTATGATCAGAAAACATACTTTAGTGCAAATAGGAGAGTTTGTATTCAAGCCCTTGACCAAAAATACTGGTTTGTAACATTTGTGTGCTGTAGAGTGTCACTGTTTGCAAATAGTTAAATCTTTCTACTTTTCAAACTTGTGTCTTGTGTCCTTTTGTCTCCTTTATTCATCCCATTGTGAATCTCTAGCCATCAGTTTATATTCTGCTTGGTAAAAAAGAAGCTATTAATTTTGCCCTGCTGTTACCCTCTTTCCCATTCCCTAAAGATGAAGAGGATGACTGTACCATCTGGCATGTAAACTTCACTTTGGGCCTTTCTCTAAATGTTTGTGTTTGATGTGTGGCCAAATCTTGCAGATTCCTTCTTTGAGACCTTTGTTAGATATGGCCTAGCATAGCCATTACCAGAGTTAAAATGTTCTCATTTTGTATCTAAATTTCAATAATTCCTTTTTCTTGGCCATTGCTTTGTTATCTAGTCATTTAGAATATTCTGCAAGATCATTTGCCTGGTTTATAAAATCAAACGGTATTTATGTATCTTATTCACGTTCTTTCTATCCAAAATGTATTTGTCTTTGCTGTTAAACTTTTCATGGCATAAGTGCACTCTCGTATCATTCTTCATCCCAAGATACCTATTCCTGCTGTTAATTGGCTCATCGTATGAGCCCACATTAGCCAGCTGTTAGTTTTCTGTCTATAAAGTCCCTACATTCCTTATAAATATCTTTTTTAGAAAATAATTTTTCTCCTCCAAAGCTCTCCCTAAAGTCTTTTTGCTGTGATGTCTAAATAAAAGCTGGACAAGACTTATCTCCTGGTGTGCTAAGAATTCTGCCTGTTGAGCTGACCAGTGTCAGATGTTAAAGGAAAAGGACTGGAGGGTAACTGTTCACTGTCTTTAGCTGATCTTCAGTAACTCTACAATTATGCCCTTGGCCCGTGGGCAATGCAAAGGAATTGGACTTAGGATCACTGCCCTTCATTGACTCCAAACTGCAGTTTTGGGTAGTTAAATATTTATTAACTCTTGAAACACTTATTGTACTGAAAATGTGCCCTTTTTCACCACAAGCTAATGTAACATGAATCACCTGGCATTTTCTGTGGCCTCTGAATGCACACATGGACTGTCACCTGGCAGTTCCCTGGCATGACAATGCCTGTACAGTTCAGAGCAGACAGCCCAAAATTCAGGAGGCAGAAAGTGAAGTACTTGTGACTGGGGAGAAGGACTGAGTAGTACACAAAGTTTGAAAACATAATTACACCTTGATTTTTCACGTTCAATCTGTTTGTTTCTATGATCTCGTGGGCTTTAATTTCTCTTCTGTAGTAAAGTATATACTCTACTGACCATATGTTATTATTGATGTTTCTTCATAGGAAATAAGAGGCATTTGAGGATGATTTCCAATATGCCTGTGGCATTTTTTTCCTGGAAATCCATCAGCCTTTTAGCCATTGTTTTCTTTGTACACTCTGTATTCTTTCCTTCCTGGGAAAGAGAGTTTGAGAGAGAATGTAACTAGTGAACTTGTTTTTATGTATTTGTGTAAGCATGTAGTGGTATTTTAAAGGAATATAGTGTAAATGCTGTCTATCTATCTATTTATCTATAATTGTATTGTAATTGTGTGTAGGTTTTTTGAGTTCAGGTATAATCAGAGAAATATAATGAGTGAAATCTGGAGATGGAGTTAAAGTTCCTTTAAAAGTTCATGAAATGAAAATAAAGAAAATACATTTTTATTTTTCCCAAAAGAGTAATCTTACTGTTGTTTTTTCCAAGCTGCACTTAAAACTAATATATGAAGCATAAAAATAATAGTTAATAATGAAATGTTTTAGGCAGTATGCTGTATTTTATTCTTAAAGGCATTTCAAAAGAGTCTATCTTTTATCTTGATAGTTATTTTTCAGAGAAAAAAATTAAATGCATGTTTTTAACAAAATTGTTATTGACTTTGGGCTTTATTTTAGTAAATGTATTTGTTCTTCCCTTTTTAAATGAATCTTTATGACATAGTGGGCATTTAGTGTTATGGAAAAACTATACTAGAAACATTAGTGTTAATAGTTTAGTATTTTAGTCCTTCACAAATTAATGTCTGTGGTAACTGGATGATTTTAGGCCTGTTCTTACAAACAAGGCCTTACTGATGTGCAAGGAACAGTAATACGTGTCAAAAACTCCACATTAACCAAGGTAAGCAGTATAAATGGGGTGTAGGAATCCCCTGTTAGGCTAAAAATCTCCAAGAGAAAATCTCCAGAGCCTACAAATTAAAGACCTCCAATATCATTTAAAAATAAAGCCTTTTATGTAGTAGGAGAGCATTTTTTCAGCTGATAATCAAATAACACTATTATACAGGCTTACTAGATTTGCAAATTTACAAGTTTTTACAAGTCAGTTGGGTCCCTTCCTCAGGAAATCAGTTGAAGTTTTTTTTTCCTGTATTAACTCAAAGAGCTTGCTTGTCCTTAAATCCTTCTGAATATATTTGCCTTATAATTTGACTACATTGAGTCAACACCCTTATAGGAACCGTAATGCAATAAAAAAAAGAGAAACTGTTCAATATAGTTTCCAATTACCTTAGGATCAGATTGGAGAAACTGGAATGTACACAATAAAACCTGCACAAGGCTTGAGTTCTGTGAGATTTTGGAAGCAACCAGTGCTTTTCAGCACAAAATACCATTTGGAAGCTTTACTCTGCTTCCAGTGGTTATAAAGTGATAAAAATGAAAATATGTGTGAGTCTTGAAATGTGAATTTTACTTTTTAAAATTTTCTGAACCACACCTTTGTGGAATTGAAAGTCTCATATGTAAGTAACTAAGCATCACTGCTTTTACTCAGTCAATTTTTTTATTATAGTGAATGTTTTTGCTTTGCCATGTTCTGCAATAAAATTCTTTATAACTTATTTACATTTTTACTTTGGAAAAATATGTCGATGCAGATGTGCCTGGTGAATTTATTTTGTAAAAGTCTTCAGGTTACACTGGAATCCCCAATATGCATCTTGCAAACAGAATATGGAATATTAATTCTGTCTTGTATGTAGCTAGCAGCAAAGTTATTACAAAATATTTGAGTGTATCCAGAAATAAATTTGTACTTTGAGATATGAATTTGTTGCATTTGGCCATAAAATTTTAGTTGTGGTTTCATTTCAGTTTTGCAAATAAAATTAGTCTGATATAATTAATTGCTTTTATTTTAGCAAATGATTATAGAGTGAAAGAAACTTGCATTTGCATATACCTGTAAAGGAAAGTATTATATCTGATGTGTTTCCAGTGAATAATTTCTAAGGTCAGTAACTAAATGGGCTCCAGTGTAATAATTTTTCATTTCTTCAACTTATTTTTAGTTGACTTGGAGCATATTCGCACAGTGAAAGCTGACAAGCACCAGCGATTTTGTCAGGAAAACAACTTCAGTAGCCATTTTGTGTCAGCCAAGACAGGAGATTCTGTAAGTAAGGAAAAACCCCAAACTTGTAGATGTCTGTAGTTTTTTTTCAAGATGCAGCAGTTATATTATACTTCATATGAACTGTTGAGAACTCTGAGTGCTGCAGGCCCTTTTTTGACTCCCTTAGTTGCATGAAAAGTAGATCTTTGTATGAATGTGTATTATTCTTATTAAATTACAGTGGTTTCTCATCTGATTTTCAGTTTGAGGTACAGATTTTAATGGAAATGATCTGACTTATACATCAGCGTGAAAACTGAGACCAACTAAATCTCTGTTTGCTGTCAGCCTGTAGTTAAGTATATTTCTTCATTCCAGGTGGAGTCCCATCTACAGCCCATCAATATAGAATTTTCCAACAATTGGTAAATAATGTGACAAGACCCTGTTGCAATAAAAGATTTTAATATGAGTCCTGAGCCATGACAGACATTCCCTTTGCAGCTCCATTGAAATTTGAACATTCTGACATTTGTACCAGATGCTTTGCAGAGTACATTTTTGAACAATCTTTTGACTCTGAGCTAACTGGGTTATTTGTTTTAGTTGGAAGTGTATGAAAGAAAAGGTTCTTTTTGAGTTGACACTATCAGTCAAATTAAATATTATTATATTGTTTTGCTTGATTTCTGTCTCATGCCTAATGAGTTTGTCATTCCCATAAAACAGTCTTGTATCTGTCTACTTAATATTACTGTTGACAAGAAAGTTTACTTTATTTTAATGTTATTGAATAGCAAGACCATGGTCATGTACATGGAAGTATAGTACACAAATGGAATCACTTGTTAAGGTCTTAGATGAATCTTGTGCAGTGAACTGCCTAATTTTGTAAGATAATAGTTTTTCTGTGAAGTCTAACAATGCTACTGTTACAAATGCAGTGAGTCCTGATTCTCTTTTTAGTTTGTGTTAAAACCTTGGCATATTTTTTTTGTTTTAAGTGTGGAATTACTGGCTTTTTATGCTAGCAACAGAAGAAAAAAATCATAATTCTACCCTTAGTAACATGTGCATCTGATAAAATGTATTCTTTTCTCAAGGAGACCACCAAAATCAGTTCATGTTATAATTGATACAGTTATCATTGCTAATTATGACAGAATCTTTATTTCAGCTTTTTAATTAAGTCTTTAATTACATCAGCATTCCACTATATATACTGATTGTATTTTTAATAGCTTACTGTTTAAAAGCAAAAGTAAATCTGAACATGACTAGAAAATATTAACAGGAAATCTCTGCCTAAATATATACTAACAAAAGAAGTAGTTTCAGTAGTTCATTTTTAGTTTGAATATAAATTTGCATTATCCCTTTCACTGCTGCTGCACACTGATCATTCAGAAGATGGAGTGTTTATCCTAGACAGTGATTTAAGAAGAGGCATCCATTGCTACTGTGAATATAGACTAGAGGAGTCTTACTCAGTTCAATGATTTGTTTCGTTTATGTCAGATCTTTTCAACAGACCTATTTGCAAAAGATGATTTTGTGTGTATAGAAAATTCCAAAAGTCATCTCAGGGGCAAAAAAAAATTAATGGAAGATTTATTATCACTAACTGTGTTACTGTCCACCAAATCACATAGCTGAAGCATTGCACTTGTGCTTGATGTTTTTTGCACAGAGTGTCCTCAGGGCAGGTGATGTAGCTCAGAGCACCTGTGATCTTGATGTGGGTTAAAGTAGGTCTCTGAGCCTCAGAATTTCTGTTCAGTGTGCCCTTTCTTGTTGTGTAGATGTTGGTAGAACAGACCAGTACTGCACCAAGGAGTTGAGAGAAAGAGCAATTGTTTTGGAAGCAACCACACTTTGTTGATTGTGCCACTAGTTTATTTCTGGTTTCCATCTTGGATATTAGAAGAGACCGTGTAAATAGTATTTTTTTTCTTAATTTTCACTGAAAATGATGGTGAGCATTTACGTAGATTTTTTTTTTGGTGGGTATCAGCTGCATGATGCAAAACAACGTTTGTTAGGTATTTAGATGGTGAGCTCAGATGTTGTTAGCAGCCCTGCAGATAAAATGTAACTTGTAGCTTGGCAATACAGTGTTTAGCAGCACTGCACACTTAAGCTGCTCCTCTTGAACATGTCATATTCTTTAGTCACATTTAAAATGCAGTTTTACCTAAACAGTGAGATAGGTGGACTGTCTTGAGATGAATTAAAGAAATTATTTAAAACAGCATTGCCACCCAGTATTATGTGTTAAACCATGTCCAAAGTCTAACTCTGCCAGGCTGCTGCTACAGGCTGTACAACATCCTGCTTGTTCCTAGATGCTTCTCTTTGGTGTGTGTTCTGTAAGATTCTTCAGAACTCTTTCATACTGCTATTTTTTGGACATATGTAGTAGGGATTTTGGTGATGTCGATGCACAGTTCTGTTATTCTCAGTTTCAGAAACCTACATCTCTTATTTCACAATACACTGGTAATACATTTTTGTGCTCAACATTAGTGAATACCCTTATTCATATTTTATAGCACCGGGAGTAGTATTTGAGAGGTGGGTTGTGTAAAAGCTTGTTTAAACTTAGGTCTCTGGAGGCAAAGTAGAAGTGTTGCTTAACAATCCAGCATACTGTTCATTCCTTGTACCATTGTTGAATTATTTTCTCAAATTTTTAAACAAAATTGAAAGTACCAGCTGAGGGGTTTTTTTTCAGATCTGTTTTGCACAGGTCACAATTTTGTATATCATTGTTTACTGTTCAGGAATGGTTTGATATATTTGAAAGAACCTCAAGGATGTCTGTTTTTAATCATTGAAATGCAATTTATTTTCTTTCCATAGGTCTTCCTGTGTTTTCAGAGAATTGCTGCTGACATACTCGGCATCAAATTAAACAAAGCAGAATTGGAACAATCACAGGTGATTTTTCACAAATACATGGATTTTTTTAGTATTTTATTTAGTATTAAAAGTGATCTTGTGGATTTATAACTGTTCTTTAAATAAATCTTCATCTGTTGTTCTGAAGATAAATATTCAATTTCACAACAGCTTTTATGAAATATGATAATTCCTTACTTATCCATCATGATCAACTCTCTGAAACAAGAAAAAACATGTTCAGAAATTAAGAAAAAACTTTAGTTCTAAGGGTGTTTGTTTAGAAATAGCACTTAAGATTAGCTTAGAAATTAAATATGTGTGCATATGCAGGTAGTATGGAAGATATAAATTATATTATATGCATGGGTTTAAACTGAAATTTTTTTCTACAACCAATTTAAATTTACTTAGTGAATCCAAATGTTTCTATTCTAGTGGTGTAACGTCCTAGATCTGCTTTTCAGTACCAGTGTTAAATAAGTACCACAAAATAAGTCAGTAAATTTATTTAAAATAAATGGCAAAGCATTCCTTATGTACAGCTTGGTGTCCTTCTTTTTGAAATATACAATAAATATGTAATTTCTGAAAGTGCTTTGCCACAGCAGTGTTTGCAATCTGTGTTGAAGTGGTTGGCTAGAAAACTGTATTGCAAACAGTAAAATTGTAAAATAAACTTACAGAGCATACTTAGCAACAAATTAGTTTTAAAAAGCTGTAATTTATAGGCAGAGAAATACTAAGTGTGTCTTTTAAATGTTCTTTTACTACGAAGGCACTATCCATCTATTATTTTGAGCTCTGTCATTATTTGTGCTAAATAATTGAGCACATAGAGTTCTTGCTACTAAGGCACTACCCATGTATTATTTTGAGCTGTCATTATTTGTGCTAAATAATTGAGCACATAGGGTTCTTAAATTTTACTTTGGTTGTTTAGCTAGCACTGGACTGTCACTCCTAGACCTCTCTGTGCTCTGAGTGGTGTTCTGTAACTCAGGTCTAAGATTGTAGAAAGGTGTATAAATACCTTAAATTTAAAGGAGACTGATAATAGGGTTATAGGGAAAACTGTATAATTCTAAAGAAAGGGCATTCTTATAGGTTGTCTTTAAAGTAAGAAGCTCCATATAGCCCCAGTTCAAGAGTACATTAATTATGTCAAACTGGTATTAGATTTAAGTAGGCTTCCTTCTACTTTAGTATTGTAATTAGCTTTTAATTTTGTTGAGTAGATCAATGGAATATGCAATATATGGGTCAGTTGATATTACACAAGTTGCATTACCAATAGCCTATAAATAGTTAATTTGCATAAATTAAATACTGTGGCATATATTACTATTGATGTGAATCCAGGCTCTAATTATCAAAAAAAAAAAAGGTAAAAAAATGTCTCTGAAAAACCACCACCACTCACAAAAAAAAGAAAAAAAAAAAGAAAAAAAATAAGCCAGTAAATTAATTTGGACAGAAAATAAACTTCACTGTTGCCTTTTAGGTACAGGAGAAGTCATTGTGTGGTGCAACAGTGTGTGTAGCTAAAGAGTGTGAGATGCTTAATTTGCAAAGTTCTGTTAATGGAGCATAATTTAAATCTACTCCAAACAAGCAATAGGTCTTTGTTATCAGTAAAACCTTTGCTCCATTTGAGAGGGTTATTTTGAAGGGATTCTAAGAGTTTCCCCAATGAGAATTGTATTGGAATGTCTGTTAGCTGTATCTTAAGGCTCACTGTTGTATGGAACCAAATATCCCCATTACTTCATAAGAATAGAAAAGGGAAAGTTTCTTCATAATCTGGAGAGCGAAAACTTGAATCTTCATATTCTCGGAAAGATAAATTCTCTTTAGAGAAATTCATTTGTCTGCAGTAGAAAAGCCTAATTGAAGTGATGCGTGGATGATGTTTGCCAAAAGCGTGGAGCTGGTCTCTTGGCTGGAAGGAGGTGGTGTTAGAGGATGATGCCATTATTAGATTTCTGTTTTACCACAGACTCTTGTATGACAGGTGCAGGCCCCTTCAGTACAGTGGTGGTGGTGGGAGTTTTCTCCTCTTTCATCTCTAAAATGGGCACGTGTATTCCTTAATTTGTGGGACAATTATATAACATGTGTTCCTTAAAGTTTTTAGACATTGAATACTCTAGCTACTGGGCTATAAAATTAGATCAGTGGATAAACAGATGCTAGATAAATGCTATAAAGAATCTAATAAATACAAGATAATAGTAAATGTGACTCATCCATAAAGTATACAAGTGTTGACTTGGATTCAATCTTTAAATAAGGATTTTGGATTTTACAAATGTGCACTATTTACACACTGGATTGTATATTTGAGTTTTCCATATTTTGTGCAATGTGAGATTTCCTTATTGCTGAGATGGTTCTTGCTCGAATCCATTTGTCAGAGAGAATCAGATATGTTCATTCAATCTAGGCAGTAGCAAAATATAAGATTAAATATTGAATTTTTGTAAAATGCCAACACTCAAATGCTATATGTGTATTTTTTATTGTCTAGTATTGAGAATACACTTTAAAATTATTTCTAGCGCTTGATTTTGTGCCTGAATATCTTATTTCTTGTGTTTAGAGTTAGTTATGATTGTTACAGTCTAGGAGGATCTTAGATGTGACTCATAGGTGGATACAAATAAGTAATAGGAATCCCAAACATAGTATTTTAACTTGTATGAATTTTTGGATTTTGGCTCATGACTTTTGAGCTTTGATGACTAGCAGAACTGCAGATGCTCTTGTGAAAAGTATATAAGGTTCTTAGTTGTCTTCAAATTAGCAGCACAACTTCTGTTAATTGACTGCAAGAACAAGCTTTAGAGATTGAATTATATTTACTCTGCATTATTTCAGAAAACAGCTGCAGCAGTTTAAGATATTAATGCAGCCCAAGCTATTTTCTGCTGCCTTTTTGTTGGAATGTATTGCTCCCACATCAGAATCAGAACATGGAAGGTGATCATGTGCTTTGGCCACATCAGGGTGAAGTTGAGCAGCTTAGCTTAAACTGCTGCTGAAAGTTGTTTTAAAGAGAAGCTGCCAGACTGTGCTGAAGTGGATGAGGTGCAAGTCCACGTTACATTCCAGCAGCTCTCCTTTGGCAGCAATGGCATCCAGCAGAGGAATAGGACAGACATTTGGGGGTGGTAAGTCTTTAAACTATCTCAGCTAGAGCTACTAAACCTTGTCTGGTAACATGCTGAGATAGCTGTTAATCAAACTTTTATTTGGACAAAACTGTGGTGAAACAAAGAACTAGATTACTCTTCATGCGTGACTGGAAAGTAGAGCATGTTTTTTGAAATAGAACAGTTCCAAAATAATAAAATTGCAGATTCTGACTTATTTTCAGTCCTCAAAATACTCTCCCTTTTAAATTGCAAGGGTCTGATGAAATGTGAGGAAATAGCTCCTTTATTAATCAAATGTTTTTCTTTCTGTATTTTTTACTTTCAACCGTAGTGTAAAAACTGCATGGGGTACAGCTTTGTTCCTTGGCACTGGCAAGAGCTAGCATTTTTGTAAGTGATGTGTAGTTTTCTCTCTAACTAAACACCAGTTCAGCAGACCAGTGTGTGTGTGCCAGCTTTGTACAATAAAGTGTTTGGCAGATAAGTCAGATCTGGAATACAGAGCACCTGGACCAAGAAAAGGTTATTTCTCATTATTTATGTTGATTTGAACCATGGCAATTATACACTTGATGTAGAATCTGATGCAGAGGCCCAAGTTTTTAATTACCTGGTAATTAAAAGTTAATGAAAGAAATATTGCAATGATATTTTTAAACTCTTATTTGGATGAAATTCCATTGGAAAATCCAGGTCATTTATGATCATCAGTTTTTTGCTACAGTGTACCTAAGCATAGGTCACTAATCTGCCTGTGTTTACAGGATGGGATTTAGACCAATGTTTGGGGAACAATTAATTGCCTGCTGATTGCAGGACTTTTTCTTTTGGGGTTTTTTTGCCCTTCAGCTCTAGTCAAAAGATTGGTATGAAGGAACTAGGTCCTGTGAGGTCAGATAATGCTGTTTAATGCTAAAACTCCTACTACTGCCCTACGTGGGATTTGGCAACCTTTCTCTTGATAACATCAGGCCAGGAGTCCAGTAAATCATGAGTGTTTTCCACTAGATAAGATAATATGAATGTGATGAATTAAGCTCAAGAAGAGTACTTCAGCAGCTAATAAATCCAGGTCCTTTGCCAGCCTATTCAATTATTGTTGCTTGTTTGACATACAGGTTTTATTTACAGAGGTAATCTTTAATGTATACTGTTTATATATTCCTAATCCAGTTTATATATTGTTTCCCTTAAAATAATGGAATTTAATTATTTATTAATTAATTTTGACCTTGAAAATATATTGAAGGAAAGTTGAAGTAATTAAGAAAAAATATTAAACTGGTTTAGGGTATCCTTCATAGCAGACTTACCTCCTCTTGCTGCTTCTTTACTGAAATTGTTCCATGAATTTTACTTCCCTTTGCATGAGCCCTGTATTGACCCGGTATTAATAATGAGAACCCTGTATCCATTATCTGTATTAACAATAAGAAAACAGTTTTGTTTGTCTTTAAGGGAAAAAATGGGAACCTTTTATTTTTAAATGAAGCAAAGAAAAATCAAAGCTGCAAGCATTTTGACATGAGGTTGTTAATTTGATCACTGCTTTTAGATTACATATTTAGGTGTAATGTGATAGTTATGTGATGGAAAAGATGCATGTGTGCAGCTAATGCACTTGTTACAGGCTGATAATGTAATATTTAAATATCTTTCACTTGAGGAGGAATAGGCCACTGTCATCTTTTCTTTCACTGAATTCCCTGCCTTTTTATTCTGTCCTTTCTCTAGCTTTAACACACTCTTGCTGATTGCATGTATGAGCCTTTCACTTTGGTGCTTTGAGAGGGCATGTTCTGGAGAAAGCTCGACAAGCAGCCCTGGTGCTGAGAGTGCTGCTTTCAGCCAGACGTGTTGCTCTTATATCTGCCTAGGGCCTGAAAATGCACTTTTATTTTGCTTCTGCATAATCTTATGTTATCCATTCATTCTTTTCAACTACTGATTAATCTCTCCATTGTTTTCCTTCTCTTTTCTTTTTACATTCTTCTCCTTGCCCTCTATCCATCATGTTGATACATGGTTAACAGAATGTTGTCAGGGCAGAACTAGTGAAATATCCTGAAGAAGATAACCAACATCACACTTCCAACTGCCAGAGCAAAGTCTGCTCAATGCAGTAGTTCAGGTATTGATGAAAAACTTGGTTTGTTTCTTTTTTATAAGCTGCATTGCTTTTACATGAAGTAACAACTGTTAAAGTAAGTTCTTTTGGAAGATTGTGTTTTGTACGTGTAAGTACTTGTAATACTCAACATATTATTTTGTAACTTTGTGTACAATTAATTACATAGTGTTTCTAATAATCAGATAGTTTGTAGAAACTTTGAAATTCTTCCTGTTGCTGTATTCAGTGCTGTACATTCAAAATATTGCATAGCTGTCTCAGATGGAAATGGATACAAAATTCTACATTTCTGTCTCCTCATGTAGGAGAGAGCATCAGTCTTATCATATGCTTTGTAAATAGAATGTGTGATACCTGTTAGATCTGTATTAGAGAAGAAATATAGTGTGCAGAGCTTCTTTTTATGTTAATGTAATCGTTAGCCAGTATGCATAGCAAAGCTTTTTAAAAATATGGCTGTATTTAAAATTCAGTTTGAATTCTGTCCATATTTTCTGATGAAATGCTTGGAGTAAAGACAAAAAGACTTAGGTACAATTTCCCGTTACAATGTAGGCAGTTATTATTAAAGAATGAACGGCACAACTTTTGCAAATAAATTCTGTTTTATTACTCTGACACAGAAAAATTTTCATGGAAGTAAAACTGCATTCATTGCTTCAGCAAGATAATTCTACTGCTTTTGTAGTGTTGTGATAACCTACCAAGGCACTTGCTTCTGCTTAGCATGAATAAACCTAGAATTATAATGAGACTTAGCACCCGATAAGGTTTCCTGTAAGGTAGTGAAAAAAAATACTGGTTTGTTTGTTATTTTTCCCTTTGTATTTCATAAAAATCTGTTGAATGCTTTGTCCGCAAGAAGTTTCAATTTTCTGATTGTTACTGTGTTTTCTCATGACAGAGAGTGGTGAAGGCAGATATTGTCAACTACAGTCAGGAGCCTGTGACAAGATCCGTCAATCCTTCCAGGAGCTCAATGTGTGCAGTTCAGTGACCACCCTGTTCTTCTCTGGCTTGATACCTTTGCAGTGCTCCTGCCTTGATGCAGGCTCTGGGACACCAGGAACTTTGTTTTAACAGGGACCAGCACAACAATGCCATTAGAGGTTTCAGAAACATGTACCACTGTCCATTACGAAGCAGCAGGCAGTTTTTAAACTGGCTCAAATTCAAACATGAGACCACACACTTGAAAAATTTCAGTCTATATTCTTTAAAATTATATTTAAATGAAACTGTATAACTGTGTTTATGTTTCCTCCTCTCTATTTGACTGATACCAGAATAAAAATAGATGAGGAAGCCCTGCATTCAAAATGCTTTTAAAGACATCACCATGGAAGGGTATTTTGCCAAAGCATTTTTAATTTTTTCCCTCCATTTATTTGAACTAACACTCAGTTACTTGGAAAAGCTGTTGTTGGAATAGTTTTAAACACATAATATATATTTTATCTAGGGATAATTTTGAAAGTGTTCAATTAATATATATGCACTTAGCACAAAATGTTGTATCCAGTGAGAAACAGTGCTTGAAATAAAGCTGTTATTATAAAAATAGTCACTTCTCTGAAGTCTCAAATTGTCTCCATGGATGCTCTGAAAAATGCTAGTGTTTTTGTGTATTTTTATTACCACATCAGCATTACTTCTTGCACTAATAGATAGGCTTATACATCTTTATGAATATGGATGAATCTCAGTGAACAGTTGGATCTGTAAATGATGAGTGATATATTCAACATGCATTAGAAACTGTTGATAGATCAATTAGCATCAGCCACTTTAAATAACTAACAGAATGACTTTTGGCCTGGTACTCTTTTCTTTTGAATTTAGAATAAATGACAAATAAAAAGCTGTGTCTTCTGTGATCTTCACACTTCTCCCCTGTTGCTTTCCTAGCAGTGCACACAGTTCTCTGCTGGCACATCTGAACAGAAGGCTAAGGAGAGAAAAACAATTAAGCCATCTCAATGCCCAAACTAGAAATCTTTTCCTGTTTAAACTCTAGAATGTGCTTTCTAATAACTACAAGGAAACATTTGGAGATTCAGAAAGTAATAAGGCTATGAAGGAGGCTTGTATATCACAAGTTAAAATTATGAGGTTCTTCAAGTGAATGTTACTATTAAGCTGTTCAAGCAACAATTAAACTATTAGTAGTTTAACAAAATAGCTAAACTATTTTAACTATTTGTGAAAGTATTGCAGATGGCAAAAAATCCTATTTATTAGCTTAACACAGTTATATAACTCTGTGATATGACTTTAGTGTATATTGTTTAGCATTCAGATGTGGGAAATTCTAAGAAGCTGAGATATTGAGAAATTATGCTACACTAAGGTAGGTGTGATTTGCAGTGAATTATTTATTCTAGTCTGAATTCTTGCTCCTTTCCATAGGGTTTGTGTCCCATTGCATTGCTTTACTGTATAGTTAACTGCAACTGTGAGGATAAGTCTCTTCTACTACCACCAGCTGAGAACTTCTCTTCAAAGCTATTTTCTTAATAGTTATTCACTTCACAAGTTTATGGTCTCCAAGGCAGGTGGAAAGTTTAAAACCCTTACATTTCTTGGTGTGTTTGTGGCCTCAGCTCATATGTTCAAATATTGACTAGAACTGCCCCCTCTGAGAAGCTGAGCACAATGTAGCTGTGGTCTTTCTCTAGTCCATGTGTATCATCCTCATGGTCCTGCTTCCCAAGTAATATGTAGCATGGTCTTAAACACCGACTTCTTGGGTAAAGTTTGGTTTTTTTTCTTTTAAAAATTTCTGTAATTTTACTTTTCAAAAGAAAATATAAGCTTTTTTATAACTTCATATGCAGAGTCCATTGTTACCTTGAATAATAAAAAATTTTTGCCTTTACATTTTGGGTATCCTGCTGTATGAAAGATGTTATATGTGTCCCAGTGCAAGCTGTTTTACAGACTGATTTTATTTCTTGGTCTCATCACAGTTTTTTATTCTCAGTGCCTATTTTTCTAGCTGTCTTTGACTTGTACATCCTTTTGTATTTTATTCCTCTTAATCTTTCCACCAACTGCTATGTTAAAGGCTTACCTTTTCTGAAGATATTTTTGTTTATGTTTCCAGACTGCCCTCATTCTTCCTCCCTAACATACATGTATTTTATTTACACTAACCAGGAATGTCCTCTCTTCTGTGCCCTCAGCCCCTCCCTTTGCTGCCCCTCTTAACCTCCTCAGCTTTTTGTATTGTATACTGACTTCCACTCTCTCTGCTTTTCCCTCTCCTTCCTGCCCCACAGAGATGCATTACCTGTCCACCTTTTAATCCTTACAAATGAGCTTCGCTCTTTTTGCTCAGCCCTGGGGACCCCACCTTGAGCCTTCAATTTCCAGCTGCAGTCTAAATCCTTGGCTGTGGTATCTGCCTTTGAAGTGCTGCAGCAGCTATGGTTGAAGATTCAGCACTGCTGTTGCTGGTGCTATGGCACAAGTTCCTCCAGGTGGAGCAGAAAGGTTAGAGATGGTTCTGGAGGATTAAGGGGTATGGAGAGAGGGAATAGACAGTGTTGTGCAGGGAAGGCAAGGGCTCTGGTGACTGGAGGGATAGATACAAATCTACTTAGAGAAAGACTGTGTAAGGAATCTGGATCCGGTTGCCTTATCTAAGTAATGTCCCACCACTATTGATTCATGTGATTCATGTATAGTACAGTTGTATTGTGCCATGTTAATGCACTTGAAAAGTTTTTTCCAAGGTGAGAACTGGTGGAAGGCAATTCAGCAAACAGTTACGAGGTCAAAAAATGCAATGCTCTCCAAAAGTGAGGCGACATGTGCTTAATGTCCACTGACATGGGGAGTGAGCTGGGACAAGTGAAACATGTTTTTTCCTGAAGCTGAGGCCAGATGAAGGGAAGAAACATGTTCAGGCCCTGATCTTACACAGATGCACACTGGTGAAGTGATCTGCCTGCTCAGAGCTGTTGTAACTAATCATTTCAGTAACAGCTCTGCAGCTAAAGGTTGTTGCTAAGTTCAGCTCCTTGCTGAGGTCAGTCTCCGTGATGTGGTGGATTGCAGTAGGTTCATTGTGTCTGCATGGCCAAGTATCAGTGCTTTAAAAACATGGATCTGAAGCATTATTGGACTCATGCAACTTCTTGTCTTCTGTGGTTCTAAAGTTTGGTGGAGTCAAATTGAATTTGTTTCACAAACAACAGTGTGAAGTTATTTTCCCTTGCAACCAGATGCTGTGAGTGCCAGAACCTGTGAGGAGTTCATAATCTCTCTGAATACATTGTTCTTTTGACAGTTCATAAAAGTCATAAAAACATGTGAAGCTGCTTTTTAACCGGACTAACTTTTCTTTTTAAAGTTTGGACACATACAAGGCCACTACCAAATTATGTGAAATGTACTCATTTGAGGAATTTGATCACTGTCAGTTCTATCGATAGATATATCTGCATCATTAGCCATCTGAAACCCCCATTTCTTTAAATCACTGCTTGATTTTCACTGGAAGAAGAGGGCCTTTGCATCAGGCAGTGTCTTTCACATGCAGAGCTAATTTGCTTGTCAGCAGGTGCACCTGATAGCCTGATAGCCAAAATTTTATAATTTTGTAAAGAAAAATATCATAGTAATATTTGAGGTTGGTTATTCTGCTTTTTTTGAGAATGGCAATTTAGATAAATTGCAGTTGTACTTTTTATACCTTTTAAAGTGTATTTTATATCAGGAATATGGTTGCTTTTCCACAAAGATTTATAACCTTTGCTTCATGATGTTCTTGACAGTTTTACAAAGTCGTAGTAGAGAGTATTGTTTAGTAGGTAAACATTGGTATATGTAGCTTGGACTGTACTGTGCTGCTAATGTTTTGACAGAAGATTGAAGTGCTGTTCTGTAGCATAACTAACAAGTTTATAATAATGGGAAATTTTCTGTGGGGGAATTTTTCCTATTTAGAATACTTAAATGCATTTCTGATGTAGCTTAGCAGTTTGTATGAGGGGCCTGATAGATGTATTTAAAGCAGCACTGACTTTTATAGAAGTTATATTTACAAAGTTGGCGTGATTAACTACTTTTCTTTCTGGAATTTGCACATTATTTCCCAAGCAGAGATGTTATTTTACAATGCTGTATTCTTTTCTTTCTCACTTCAAATACTACTGCTTAACATATAATCTGATTTCTTTAGGCTGTCTTTATTTAAAACCAACTCATAACCACTTAAAATGTCAAAATAGCTGAATGTTGCTGAAAAGAAAAAGCCAAAAGTTACCCATGTTTGCATAGGGGTAATGGCATATGTATAAGATTAAAACTCCAGTCCAGATAATTATCTGTAGGAAGCAAATTTATACTCTGATTTCAGATGCTATGAATAGAATGTGATTAGAATTTAATGTGCTGCAGTTTTATTTGCAAAATACACAGGTCCTGTATAAAACCTCTTTTTATAAAGTACTCTCTAGAAGCCTTGGGGATCCCTGTTTAACTTGCAAATGCCGAAGTTTGATCTTCCCCAAATAGAAGATAGTGAAGCTCCTGAGTTCCATGAACTGATTTCTATTTTCAGCTTCCCATAGAGAGCTGACTGTTCAGCCAATTTAAACTTTTTTTTTTCTACTCCACTTCATCTTCATTCATTTTGGCACCATTTTGAACTGGAAAAGTTCCAGTTAGCTAATTGGCCATTTGCCTTGTTTTATGTAGGGGTGATGTCAGGTGCTGAAATAACCGATGGACTGAAAGCAATCTTGTTTCAAAGGCTGGTCAGAACCAAACCTCAGAAGGTACAAATTTCAGGTTTGTTTTGTATTTAACTGCTACACAGCAGTCCTTATCCTAGTGGATGAACCTCAGCGAAGAATATAGATTTGAGGTCAAGAGCTGGTGTTTGCTCAGATACCACATTTAGAGCACTGAATTCTGGAGGAAGTAGGAATCCAGATCTTTTTTAATATCACTTTCAAGACTTCCTCTACTTCTACTCTGTAATGTCATACTAGCAATCAATGCTTTTAAGAAAATATTAATTCAAGTTCCCATTTAAAAAAATGGTAAGTATACTTTGGTTCAGGAAAGTTTTTCTTTTAAGGATGAGTGGAAAAAACTGCTTGTTGTATGAAATATTACTGGCATAGTTGAAGATATTTAATACACAGTAATATTCATATTTGGTTGTTATGATCTGTGAAATATCCTATATTCTTTTTTAAAGTGTTCTTTAAATTATAATGATTATAAATAGAAAACAAAATACCAAAGCAGTTTTAATTAAATTGTGCCTCAGAAAAAGTTCTTCAAACTGCTTCAGGCAAGCATTTTTTCTTTGCTAGCTAAACTCCATTTCTGTCCTTTCCTGGGCTGATCTATACCAGGTAGCTTGGAGGATCATGACCTACTAATCCTTTTTGATTTCTGGTGAGCTTTTAAAAACAAAGTAGACCAAGGAACATCAAAGGAGGATTTCAAAAACACACACTGTGCCCTGAAAAGTAAATGTTGCTTTGGAAGGCATTCTCTCCTTTAAAAAAGAGGTGAATGCTGTGGTTCAATATTATTCACCAAAAACACTTAAGCATATGCTCAAAATTAAGCATGTATTTAAGTTCCCTTGAAGTCTATGCTGTTTAAGTACACACTTGAAGCTAAATACATTCTGTCATACTTTGCTGACACAGAAATTCTGGCTCCATTGAAATAAATGCCTTTGAGGATAAAATTCTTTCAAGAATTTCAGTGTTAAATTTTCTACCCATTGTGAAGGGTATAAAGCCACTAAAGCCACTAAAACTCAAGACATTTCCAAGTTGAAAAGAAAAAGAAAGAAAAAAAATGTTTTTCATATGGTCGGTTGTTTTGCTGATATTTTCCCTAGCATGAATGATATGGAAATTGAAAAAACAGAAGTTGAAATGTGGTTCAGTTTTGTGAGCAGAACATTTACTTGACATTGGGCAAGTTGCTGTTTTTGGAATAAATGCTTCTCAGATCCATAATGAATCAGAAACAAAAGAATCTGGAGGTGCTTGACAAGTCTCATTGCAAGCTGAATTCCATCTGATTGTGCAGGAAAACATATCAAGTTCTCATTTGTAGTGTCTGAATTGCAGATCTGACGTGGAGGATAAACAAGAGCTGGTACTTCTTACTCAGATTTGGGGAGGTATTTGATCACCATCTTGGAAAAAATGAAGTGTGATTTCTGGAAATATTCCAATATTTGTCAAAGAATGGTGAGGCAATGTTTAACTGCATAATGGAAACTGGAGAGAAATGTTGACATCCCACTCATCAATCCAATTGCTTTTTTATCTCTCCACTGTCTTGGAAAGAGAGCAAAGTGTAAACCAACGTTTGGCACAAATGGGCTGTCTGTGCCATTTAGGAGCAATTTGCATGTAATTGGTAACAATTATACAGACAACCCATTTATAACAGGGAGTGAGCTCACAACCTAGCATAAATGACCAGAAAACGAATCATATCCCCCAGGAATCACACACTGATGTAAGAAAGGAAATGGAAGTTTTTCAGTTGAATCTCTTCACTGCTTTTATCATGCAGAAATTCAGGGATGCAAGTAAGCCTGTATTCAACAGGTTATACAGAAGTGCAACTTGTGTTTGTGCCAGTAAGCTTGAATATAATCAGGAGTCTTAAAGAGGGTGCTCTCTATCTATCAGGTTCTATCTCTACATCAATCAGATTCTGCTAATGTTCCTGACTAAATAACCAACCTGTGAAAGTTCAGAGTCTAACTCTGTTTCCATATGGTCAGCTGCTGAACTGATGAGGTGGCTTCCCAATCTACTCTGTCAAGGGCACCTGGAGCCAGCCAGGTCCCCAACAGCAGAGATTGATGTGATAGGTACTGGTGAC